TGATTAGGCCACAGAAGATCGATTTTGATCAAACATCGCTCGCCATGGCAAGAACCACTTAATTTGGTTTCACCAAAATCGAAACTGTGAAACTAGCAATATTTTATTTATGCAAAAATGCCAGATTTAATATAATTCTTAGCCTAATATTTCTTTAATTTTTAAATTGAAAAGTACCCAAACAGTAAAATCAAAACGCGATGAAAATTGTAGAGGCAGACATTTCAATTCAATTTAGATTATAATTAATTGAAATGCTTAAACCCCTTCTTCAATCGCAGTTCCCAGAGCGTCCCCAATGGGAATAAGCAGGAGGATTATTTTCTCACGAAATTAATTGCATCGGAGCAAGTCAAGGAAAGCGGGAGGATTCATAATCCTCAAGTCTTTGCAGTTTTTCGGATGGAAATCAAGTGAGGATACAGTCAGCACGTTTTCTACATATTCGCTTGGATGATCCTTTTTCATAGAACTAAGCGTCAGCTGGTCAATGTCCAGACTGATGAGAAAAGGACGCAAGTTGGACCGGGTTGGCTACTAATTCAGGCTAAACTTGTTCTCTCCAGAAGGGTGTTGATACAACTCCACTGATCTACATTAGACAATTAAGCCATGGGTCTCGGATCCGCAACCCAATTACTGTTGCCATCCTCGGCTCTCTCAGCAATCAGATTATTCTGATCCCCTACCTCAGGCGTTTTTGTAGTAAAGTAACAAGCTTAACAAAGTACAGAATTAAAACAAGATTTTAAATTTTGCCTCTAAAGAAATAGGAAGATCTTTTTAAATGCTCTTGTTTATAATTTTATGTGTAAAGCTTTATCTATCTACATGTTTTCTTTACAAAAAAAAGAAATAAATAAGAGTGTGAAAATATAATCTGATGTAAAATTTTTAATTGTTTTGATGTATAACAGTAGATAAACATGTCTTGAGATAACATTATATATGTCGAAAACTTGGCGATAATTTTAATTTGTACAGTCTGTGACCATTATATAAGCCTTCAATATCCTTATCATCATCTTATTCTTTAGGTCGATCATTCTTCTGCATAGCCTCATAATTCTCTTTTTTTGGTTGTTGTTTATATGAATTTATCCGGCCATAGTAATATTTGAGAATTTCACAACTACTTTTTCGTTTGACTTTTTTATGTAAATATATGATTATGCTTATTTATTAGAAGGTAAGAGTTTTTATATACTAAATATGCATAGTAGATATTATTGTGAGTATTAATATTTGTTTTATTAAAACAAATACTTTAATAGTTTTACTAACTTAAACTAAACAAACTGCGACATTTTATTTAATCTTTCGAATAGAATATTTGCTGTGATCGGTACATTATATTTTTGAAGAGTATGGTAAATCAAACCACCAAAAAACCACGTATAATGGGAAAATCGAGGTTTTAAGCGAATTTAGTTAGTATTGATGAGAGAAGTGTTGTTAAATGCAAAACTGAATACTTCAGATCAAAATAAACGATTGAAAATACCTGATTTTTTTGTGAGATAGCGGATTGCAAAAGTGTATTATGTACAACTCTGAAAGATTTGTCAACATTTGACGTGATAATTGAAAGAGAATTTCAATTTTTCAAAGATCTCTCAACCTTTAATTTTTTTGGCTCTCAGTTGTACTGAAAGGATTCAGTAAATGATTAAGATTTTAGACAATTTAAATTTGATATAAAAAACTATATATATTTTGATGAAAAGTTTATTTTTTATTACCCGTATTTTCTCGACAGTGTGAATAAGAAACCAATTTTTACGCCATTGTTCTGTATGTACAGCCTACTATCAACCACCGTTTTTTGCAACACATATCGAATAACTGTACTCTACACCCAGGTCGATTAAAAAAATAACAATCAAGTCTTCTGGTGATAAACCATTCTAAATCAAATTTTAAATTATTCAGTTGTAAAATGAGTCCAAAAGACTAAAATTAAAACAAGGCCAGTTTCATATAGAACACCCTTTATCAAACTAGACCCTTTCGTTTAAAACAGCCGAAGAGGGGGAGCGCGCACCACTCCGAAATCGATTCATCCCAATAATAATACATTTTTAAATGAAATTTGGCTTTTTTGGTTGTTTCCGTTTATGGAAGATGATAATATGATTAAAACAAAACAAATTTAATAAAACATCTATTGAAGGATAATGATGAAATAACACTACAATATTATCAATTTAAAATATAGTAGTTTTATAAGTCTATAACATTTTTAAATAATTCGATTTTGTCCCTCATGTGTGTTGAATCAACGTAGATTCTGTCATTTATTATTTTCGCGCTTTGGAAAGAGGTGAGTTAACGTTTTTTTAAATTAAATTCACTAATTTCGTGGTTCGCTTGACCAATTAATATATTACAATTAATAAAGGTTTTTAGTTGAGATGAAAAAAGTTAATGGCACGAGCGGGATTCGAACCCAGGATTTTCGGCTAGATACGCCGCTTCACTAACCACTTGAGCCATCGTGAAGTCGCGAAGTCACGATAGCTCAAGTGGTAGAGCAGCGGCGTATCTAGCCGAAGATCGTGGGTTCGAATCCCGCTCGTGCCATTAACTTTTTTTCATATCAACTAAAAACCTTAATTAATTGTAAAGTTTTTTTAAATTCTTCATTTCCGTAAATTGAAAGCCAATTTAAAATGGAGGAAATGTGGGCATTTTCAATGATTTTGGCACCGCAATGGCCATACCGCAGTTCAAACCTCTAGGAAAATGTGTGATGTGCGGATATTTCAATTTTGAAGAAATCATTCTGATCGTCCTTCAATCTTTGGTGATGACCAAGTTTAAGCTTTTGACATAAATAAGCCACACTCGACGAGACGAGACATCGCAGGGACACTCAACTTATCTCATGTAAGCGTTGAAACGCATCAGAGAGTAGGTGGGCATCCTTGTCCGAGCGATGTGTTGGTTCATCGCATGTTCAGTCCGAAGAATTTATCATCGATAGTTTCCCTTCTAAAACGTAACGTAAACTATCCATTAACAAAAAAGTCCGAGTTAAATTGGTGAATAATTGTTCAAAAATTTTACCAAAATTATGTGCTTCTGTGACTTCGATTAATTATATCGAGCGAGAAACGAATTAGTACATACACATGCCCAACTACTGACACATCCAATTGAGTTTTTGTTAAAAACAAACATTTGCGCTGTGTAACCCGTGTAATGAATCGCAGTACATCCTCGGAACAAATGTCTTCGAAACAATGTTGTCTAATGAACCTGTTGCTTGGTCATCCTGGACTATTTTGTCTCTTCCGTCTTTCAGAAGAGTTCGGCATTTTGCCATCTGTTGTTTTGTCTTTTTTATAAATTTGTAAAAATGAAAAGAGGTCAATTAGTATTTGACGGAACATGTTTGAGGTTTTTGATTTTCTGGCCAGTTTGTCGGTTTGTTTTCTTAAAATCACCGGAAAACTTTTTTTAATTTCTCCAGGTCATTATTAGGCATTCCCTCTTGAAATCGTGGAAACTTCTATATTCCTTGGTACCTTTACTTTATCGTTTTGATGTTCTAATAAAACTTTTCATCATATTTTTCACTATAATGCAAAGATTTTTAGGAAAATACTGCAATTGCAAGTGTATGAAGTACGCTTTCCCATTCAACCGATTTAAAATCGAGTATCTTTCGGAAATTGTTGATTTTTGATTGTTACCAAGAAATCTATCTGCTGCTGACTTGAACCTTATCAACGTGTGCTTTTGTCGTCCTGCATGAAACACTGGGTATTTTATCAGTTTGCGATATGGTCCCATGATCATTTCTGCCCTAATTCTTGCATTTGTAATCGTTGGGAATTCATTTGAGAGGTATGGAATGCACTATATTTCTACTGATAATGACAAACTAATTCATTCGTTTCAGAGTCATGGGAAGAGATGGACGTATTTATAAGTAGTATAAGTATATAAGTAGTTTCTTATACGTAAGTACTTATATATTAGTATTATGGAAGAACTAAGAATTTTTCTATGATGTTTTTTGACCAAGAAAATGAGTTGTTTTCTTTCAGGCCACGTTTCTACTACTCACTACTTTGACATTGCTTGACCATTCCACGCACAAAGGAATTTTGAGAACCCAGATTGTTGGCCGAGTAGAAATTCTATGATCTTAAAATCTGTACATGTTCTTCAAGTGTACAGTTTGGATTTGTCAGATCCCAAAACGTTTTCACGGTTTGTCTGATTCCTTTAAATGGTCAAAATTTGCGATTTGGTTAGAATCGTACTTTTTTACCATAACGAAGAAGAACCCTTTTCAAACTTCATTTATAGGAATTAATAAACAGACTCCACTCTGAAAAGAAGGAACCCGAAGAACCCCATAAAATCCGGTATGTTTGAAACTAGCTCGCACTTTAACAAAAAAAAGCAATAATTCTTTTTCTCTGTAATGTTACCAGGAAAAGAATGTGTCAGGAGCGATCAATATCAATCAATTGGGTGTATTGAATTAGCCTAATTTATTAGCAAAATCAATGAGTTCTGTAAGAAATCTGAGTTCAATTTCGAATTTAGCAACTAGATATTTATGAAATACATCTTTTCATTAATAGAAAGGGGATGGGTAGTGTAATGTAGCCAATGAAATAAATTGTAGAAGAATTTTAAACAATCTTATATAAAAAAACAAACAAACATTCATCAATCATTGTGAAGTCGGAGCAATAAATTCTTCCTTTCTGAGACTCTTAATGAATTATTACAATTACTCATCATCCTAAATAAATGGTTTTCAAATGTCCAATCAGATTGGGAAATTCCTTTATTCTAACCAAACCAAATCAGATTAATTATTACAGAAATTTCTTGTAGCTTTCAATTAAATTCATAATAGACTATGATTGCTTACAAAAGACGAATTTTCATGAAACGTGATGCGATTTCCGTCTTGAATTACTTTTGGAGTGGTTTAATTAATTTGGGCACTTGACAAAAGGATTGAAATATCATACCTGTGTGAGGTGCCATCGCTTGGACGCCTTTGCTATAGGATCTGTGACCTGCGTGCACGCCGCCCCAAACAACATCACTTTGTGTGGGCCCTCGTGCATCATGTCAAAGAATGCTTTCATCCCCACGGCGGCATTGCACTGAAAAAGGAAAGATTTTGATTAATTTTGTTGAAAATCAAAAGACGTCGGATTATTGGATGGTGGAATATACTCGGTAGGGCACGTGTGCTTTTCATTACTCGGAGAATCTCTCTGGGTTATAATTTCAACATTGATTGGCATGAAAGCTTCATTTGAGCCTCGAAAATGGAAAAGAGGGTCAAATTGAAATCTGAAGTCAGTCTCTAACTTATATTACTTTCGAACTGGCTTAAATCCGATTAAGCGCTTCCTCCGCATAGCTCGGTTTATTGATTTGACCGCAAAATTAATGCGCTTGTTTTAATAACTTTTGACAAAGATGGAAAAGTTAAGCACGTCTGTCTGATTATTATTGAGGAAAAACTTAAAGGCTGGATGAATTGAAATTGTATCTTTTACAGCTAGTAATAATATTGTTTTGCAGGTGAACAGTTTAAACCGTGATGTTAAAACGCAGGTTCATTTGTCAGATCTGCCTCGGCTTTTGCCATCTTCAGGAATTTTCGTTGAAAGACCCAGGACTAAAGATGGGAAAAATCATATATAAACTTTTACGGTACCCAAAGTTCAATATAATTTACATGAAAAAAGAAATATAATAGAAGAACAACAACCTTAATACATTAGTAAAATAAATTTGCCCGTTCACTTATAATTACCAAGAATTTCAGAGTGTGTATAACGATATTTCAGCATACCTTCAGTCCAATAATTGTCTAATAGGTATGATATTGAAGTGATTGGAATATGGGACGGAAAAACTGATAATAAGACTTGATATGATGTAAAATATTTGTGTTGCAGTCTACCAGGTGATGACGTTAGACATCATGGCTCGTTTCTGCCAGTTAATCTATGTGACGTTTCACCATTCAGTGGTTAAGCACACAAAACAAACACTGAGCCCTGAAGATGATCTCTATAAAGATCGAAAGGTTGGAACGATAAAGAAAATGTTTTTCAGAAACCTACGTCACACCAGACCGCATCTCACGAGTTCCGAATAATCAAATGGTCATTATTGTTTACGCCAATGTAAAAATTTTTATTTATTAATGGTTGGTTGGGAAATCTTGTCATTTGTTATTTTAAATTTATCATTTTGAAGAATTGTGAAAACGGAAAATTTGTAAGGATCACGACGCTGGAGGGAGAAACAGGTCAATTTTCAGCAATCCTTCGTAAAAAGAGTGAGTCACTGCCTGGTTTTCGAACTGTTCGCACGAAGTACAACTGTCTTCAGCGTTCAGTCAGTCTCTCCCGAGGATTTAACCCGTACGCACGAACGTACATCAGCTGTCTTCAGCCAGTCTCTCCCGAGGATTCAACCCGTACGCACGAACGTACATCAGCGGTCTCCAGTCTGTAGCTCTCTGGCTTCCGACGGGTACGAACGAAAGCACCTTTGACGTCGTCCGGCGAGTGGCTCCCAGACTCCAATCTCAAGCTCCAAGATAAGCGCCAAATCGTTTGATCTTCACTGTCGTGAGTCGACAAGGCGTACGAACGTCCTTATTCTTTTAATTCAACATTGCCATTTTTTGTATTAACTTTCCTATAACCAACTCTCTATATTTCTATATATTTGTTAACTTTGTTTTGTTTCTGGCCAGATTTTAGTTTCCGTATTTTTATCATAAATTGCGTGGTAACGCCGGACTTGGAGGGTATATATCCAATACTCACTCCCGCCGGCGTCTATGAAACAATTATTTATTTCTTCTAACGGAGCCTCACTGAATAAGTTCTTTTTATATGTTTTTGTTGTTCTTAAAGAATTTTTATCCAAGTAAGTGGTTTACAGATGTAAAAAAAAATTGATCATAGATAAAATGGACACAAACAAGACTGGACAACAAAGATTGGGAAGATCGGGATTATCAATGACGGCCAAACCACAAGGCAACAGATCACCAGTGTTGCCACCACAATTGGTTGAAAAATAAAAACTATATTGTTTTCTAAAACATCCCCCCATTTGATTTACAACGAATGACTTATATTTCATTATTGATTTTGCGATTTATTATCTTCTTATATCTAGCCTTATGTTCGTTTTTGTTATGTTGTTCTCAATCAAATCTTATCTTATCTGCAGATCTTATGTGAGGCAAAACATTTATGCAAGACCAGGACGTGCATTATTTTATGTGTTGAACTTAATTTATTTACAAGTTGAAACATGAAAAAAAAATACAACATATAGCCACATTGATTATGAACCTGTTGAGTTATTGATGAAGGGTAAAGTGAAGTCCTGTCAATCAGATTAAAATGTTTGTTGTGTCAAACCACATCAAGCAGATCGTCTACTGACAAAATGATTTTCACAATGACTAAAAATATATTTTGTTGTAAAATAGTATCAGTGTGATAAAATTCAATAATCAATTCTTACTTTGTTTATATTCGTGATATTTCGTAAAATATTTTCTATTATTTTTACGTCAAGCTATTTTATCTAACGTTTATTGAGTATAATCGTTGCTTAATGATTTGATTTTGGTCTCAGACAGCTTTAAAAACCGAAACCAGCGATTATGATGTAAATCCTTAACGCGTTGGAATCAAGGTCAAACTGATAATCCGCTTCCAGGGATGAGTAATGATGGCCCGACGATTCATCGCTCAGTTAAACTCCACTAATAATGTTACGTTGTGAGGACTTTGCATAGAAAACAACAATATGATTTTTTTAAATTATGATAAAATTATAAAAGTTAAATAAAAAACATTGATATTGTTGAAAAAATCTCTCGTTTTTACAATTTGCACTAATATGTTCAGAGTAAACAATTATAAATTTAAAGAAATTTTGTTCATGACTTTTCCCAATTAGTTAACAGAATTTCTCTGAAATATTTGAGGAATGAAGATGAAAATGATGCAGACCTCATTCTCGTGGATACGTTGTGGAAGAGTAATGAAAGACTTCCATCACAGTTAATGGTTTATACTAAGCACACGTGTATAGTTAAGATTTATGACTGCATTTTTGACAGACGGTTATTGATTGTTTTTTGTCTATAGTTATTCTTTGAAAAATAAAATATATCTTGGCGAGAGGAATTATTTACCTGTTCAATTTTGTTGTAAGTCGAGTCTTGCGTTGAAACAATATTTACTTATTGTGGATAATGCTCTTTCAATTTTAGATAAAATTTTCGTTAATTTTGAAAATTGTATTCTTTTACAAAAAGTAAGTTTGATTATTAATTCTTACAGGCCTCTTTTGGTAAAATATAGTCTGTATTTTTTGTATTTACTGTGTTTTATTGAAGAGAGGGAGGTATCTTGTTTGAATATATCCCGGTGAAAAGGGGAAACGAGTAAGGTTATTGCCGAGGTGAAAATATTCCACGAGGGGATGAAATCATACTAGGTTTAAATCTGTCTTCGTCAAGCGTGGAAAAAGAAACAATGAATACATTCTGTAAATAAAGTTTATTAACAATAAATAGTGAATACTTTTTAGTAAATATATGTTTTGGCGATGTAAGTAAGTTTCGATCGTTCTTCCTTCGAAAGGCAAAACAATTAAAGCCCTTTCTGAATGTTTAAAGTTAATAAATTATTTGAATTTACCTAAAATTATATCTTTCGTACCATATAAAAACACCAAATAGTAACTATAATACATTTTATATACAACCTATGAAAGACCAACACTTCCGCAACGCTTACAGGTCGTGCGGGTTTAGCCTAAGTATTTTTTATTGTCAGGAGGTTGATGTTTAATTTTGACGCTAGATTTTAATTTAGATTTTATAAATGTTAGGGATAATATTTCAAAGGTTTTTGTATAAAATATGAATAAATTTAGGGGCGTCGGTAGCAGAAACGGGTAAGGTATTGACACCACGACCATCATTCCCATCATACCAATGGTCCCAGATTAGGATCTCATCGGCCCTGAATTCGGATATAAAATATTTCCATATAGCCCTTTCAAAATACTTGAACCTCGGTTGTTGATACGACTACGTAGTTGAATTTTCCAATTAAAAACCATCCAAATATGCGTGAAATATGATACATTTTCTTTTACTGGATGGTGTGACACGGGTAGAGATTTGTTTTTCTACAAGATAAAAACGTTCGAATAGAAAGTCATAACTAATTTAATCAATGAAGTTATATAAAAACTTAAAAACATTGGATATCTTGATTTAGTTTCTTTTTCAACCGTTATCGTTATTCCAAAAGAATTGCTAACCTTTACATTTGAAAATAAATAAAAATAAAAAGTCACGGTATCTTTTAGAAAAAACTAGTCTCGCGTGCGAAAGAAATCTTTTCTTGTAATCTATTATCAGCTGAATCATCCATGTCACTTGCATTACCGTTACATTCTGATTCCATTGCAAGAAATAATCTTTCTCCACTTCTTTTCATTTTTGGCAAGAAAATTGAAAAGATAACAAAATGGAGCGTACGGAATCCAACGCGATCTAATTGCAAAGTCTAATGAAATCACGTTCCGATAATCTTTTTTGATTGGTGTAGACGTGTTACGGTTTGAAAAAGAACCAGGTCGCCGCTGAGGTAGTAAGAATGATTGAAAAGAGAAAGGAAAAATCTCTCACGAGAACTGTACTTGAACAAATGAAAGTCGGTGAGTTATAATTGTACTTTTAGAGTATTTGAGAAACCCGAGGTCAGTTGATTTTTGCGAATAGTAAGTTAAGATAAGGTTTCTTTATAAAATTATTGTATTTTATTTTAATTTGTCAAAAATTTTAGTTTGATGTTATGTTTTCCATTGCTAACCAGAATTGTGTATTTAGCTTCAAATATTAAAATCTTAAAATAAAGATACATCCTTATCTACATACATAATATTTCGTAGAATTTTTCCGAGATTATCAATTCCTTTTAGAATTCTGCACATGGAATGCCTGGAATATAGATGATAAATTAAAGATGAAATAAAAATTCTATCAACGAGACAAACGGGACGATAGTCAAACTTTTACTACTCACTAATATCTTTAACT